TAAAATAAAATGATCCAATCTATAATTTGATAAATAAAATTAATGTTGATTAAATCAGTCCCCGACAACGGCGCCAAAAACTTGTTGACGAACTCGGCAAGTGCACCGGTCGTACAAGTAATAAAGTGATAAAGTAGAGTTGTCGATCCCACGAGGACTGATGACCAAGCAATAATCTATTTATTTAATTAAAGTTGGATCGATCATTAAAGGTTTTCTTGAGAATATTGTGATTAAAGTAAAAACAGAATTTATAAACTTATTTTTGGTTTTTTAATATTTTAGAAATTTAATTCAGAATTAATTAAAGCTAAAAGAAATTGATTTAAGTTTTCAATAAAAAGGCGTAGTTAGGATTCAACTTCCCCAATGGTTTCTTACCGAGTTTGCTTACTCTTACGATTACATTCAAGATTAAATTATTAACAGCTCTTTCTATAATTAACTAAATCCCAATCCCTTGGTAATTTAATTCTTTATTCTAATCCAAAGCCTAATCCCTTAGTACTTTTTCATAAAACATGCATTAACGCCAGAACTCACAGTTATAAAATTCACAAGTCTATCCCTAGATCATGCGAATTCTAGCAATCAACCAATCAGAATCATATACCAACATCCCTGTTGTCATATATGACTCATGTGTTTATCTACGAGTGATCAAGTCATAAATAATACTAAGCATAAATATCAGATTGATTGCATAATTTAGAAACAAGAATGTAATTCATAAGAATAAACAAACATCAACTAAGAACCCATTGGTTCTGTATCTTCCTAACTACTGAAAGTAAATTAGCTAGACATAATTATAAACGCAGAATAAAAATCTACTGTAAAAGAAACTGAGTTCATGGTAAACTTGTCTAAAAGTGATGATCAATGGTGCAGAGTTGACTCCTTCCTTCTCCTCTGCCACGATCCAGTGCTACGCTTATGCTCCTTCCTTCGCTTCGTCTCAAGTGCCTTCTTTCTCCGCGTTCCAGAATGATTTTTACGGCTTCCTTCGCGTTGTATTTAAAGGGAAAATATGGGCTTTAATTTGCTGATCCGCTCGCTCCATCGGTCGCCTATGCTAAGACCTTAGCGAGCTGCTGGCCATTTTGCTCGCTCTAGCTAGCAACTTTGCTTGCTGCTCGCCCACTTGCTAGCTCTAGCTAGCAACTTTGCTAGCGTTACAATTTTTATTTTATTTATTATTTCATTTCTGATTTTCCATTGCTCCGCGGATTCGTTGCCTTGTTTTGTTACTTTGTTATTCCAGTATTCCAGTCTCAACAACCTGAAACAACAACAAATATTTAGAATTTGTTTATTTGTTGACAATTCATTCTGTTTTACTATTTTATTGTTTTAACACTATATTTTTAACTATTTTAGTCATTATTTGAACTCTTTTTAGCCATAAAACATAGTGTCTTAGACACTTATCAGTAAGCTACCATCATTTGGTATTGTTAGTCAAAATTTAAACATATATGTTAATTTTTTGGGTAGAAAAACAGATATGTTAATTTATTATCATCATAAAGCACAAAAGGAATAATTGAAACGATTGAAAATACCTGATAATTTAAAATTAAACATGATCAAAATTAAAGGGATAAGTCATATTTTAGCCTTAAGTTTATTCTAAGATTAATTCCTAGCACGAACTGGTTATTCAATTCGGACGCTTCAAATAAGTGTTGGTTGACGATATTTCGTTGTTTGATGTCTTAGTTTGTTTTGTGTGAAGCGTGTTTATTGTCAATTCAATTTTATGTGAAACTATTTTGGCATAATTTATAGAATTGTTGTAGGTTCCATCCATTTTTGTGTGTATTGCATGAGATAAATTGTCTTATATAACATGATAAATAGTATTTCCATCTTATTATATAGTCATTGTTTGTATTATTTGACAAAAAATAAATAATAAAATAAATAATTTTCTTTGGTTTAAGAAGAAGCTAAAAAAATCATTTTATTTCATAAATCAATATTAATAATATGTTTTTGGACAATTAGTTTTTTTGTTTCCTGAGTGAAATGTTATCTTGCATTAATTTTAGAAATATTGTTTGCATAACTTTGTCTTTGGTGATTATCTTAATTTTAAAATAGGAAAAACTTCAAAAACACCCCTATAAATTTCTTCAGAATCACTTACCCCCTCCCCAAAAATTTTAATCATTTACACCCCTACTTAAAACTTTTTTATCACTTACCCCCTAACTTGATTTTCCATCCAAATTAAACTTAACAGTGTTAGTCTTTTAAAAAAATACCAACACTACCCTTAAAAAAAAAAGAATTAACCCCTCCACACCTTATTGCTAGCAAGAGATAACAAACTATCGTCAATGATCTACTGAAAACTACCATTCAAGTAACATGGATTTTTTTGTTATCTTGTAATTTTTTTCCAGCCCCACTATATGTTTCACCTTTCGTTTGTCAAAGATGAACCAATTTTCAATGCTTCCATATATTAATTAAAGGACCAAAGGTGTAAATATTTTCAGCAAGTAAAAAAAATGGACTGCAAAAAACTCAATCAAAGGACCAATTTCATTAACTATTATACATAAGATAACATGTCTGGACAGCAAAAAAAATGGGTTTCCAAAAAATCTGGAAAAATAACAAGCTTCAAAAAAATCTCCTTTCAAGCATATTAATCTCAAAAAAAAAAAAAACTGGACAGCAACAAGCAGCTTCAAATCAATGAACCTTCATAAGGTGCTGAGGGGGCATCAATATATTTTCCTCCTCTTGTAGCCATCTATCAATATAAGCATATTATATAAGCGGCTAATTAGAAGCAAGGGCGGTGGAGCGTCAGAAGATTAGGGCTCCACTCCTTAATGACTATCTCTTGCAGCGGTAAGGTACAATATTGTGTGTTACTTTTCTTTAAGGGTAGTTTTGGTTTTTTTTTTTTTTTTTAAATTAACACCGTTAACTTTAATTTGGATGGAAAATCAAGTTATGGGGGTAAATGATAAAAAAGTTTTAAGTAGAAATGTAAATGATTAAATTTTTTGAAGAGGGGGGTAAGTGATTCTAAAGGAACTTATAGGGAGGTTTTTGAAGTTTTCCCTTTAAAATAACAACAATTATAGTAATAAATATTTAAAAAAATTAAAAATTAAGATTAGTCAACCCGGAAGTATTTTTAAGGATGAAGTGACATTGTTTACTAAAAAAAAGAACAAATGAAGTGACATTGAATTTTTCGTATAATTGAATTTTCGCAATTTAATTTCATGTGTGAATTTATTTATTTTATTATTTATTTTATTTTAGGATTAAATTAATTTTTTTAAAATTAATAATAATTTATACAATTAAACTAAATTATTTATTTTTAAATGGATGTATTAGAAATATAATGAAATTAGGTGTTTAATTTCCACCCTCCCGTATATTCCCAAATTTCGGTATGAATTTTCAAAGATCAATTTGCAAAATAAAATATTTTTTCAATTGTTTTCAATTTAAATAAAACTAATAGCGAGTTTTCAATAAAATTTTAGTTACATATTTATTTATTTTTGGATACTATTTTAGTTACATATTTAGTTACAAGTTACTGTGTAAGTGGGCCATTCACGTCTACGAACCACTAACACATCAAAAATTTCGACGTGTCGTGTCCAACACTTTCCGACACTCTCCGATACTCCTCGAAACTTCAACTCGCGTTGTAGAAACTCAAAAAAAGTTTCAAAGATTGCGTTGCATTGCGTTTTTAGCTCTAACTATTAGATTCGTTGGATTACTATTACCATTTTATTGAATTTAATATAAATATTTGAGATATCTTATGTTTCTTTGCAAAATTAATAGGTATTATAGGTTTAGTTTTATTTTTTTTGTTAAATTATTGAATATTATATATAATATACGCAACATAAATTAAAAATATTATTCAATATCAAAACGTGTCCTAATCTATCGAAATATAATATTTTTTAGAATTAACATATTGAGTGTTGTGTTGTATCGTGTCTCGTGTCCTGTGTCAGTATCGGTGATATATAGATTCACGGTACTACTTTGCTGTTTGTCTTTTGTAATCCTTTTGAAACAAAAATAAAAAATCGTAATAATATCATACATGAACAAAATAGCAAGAATAATGACAGTCAATGGTGACATAATTCCTCACCAAACTTTACTTCCTAATCCTAGATCCTAGGCTCAAAGGATAAGATAAGGAAAGTACGTGCGTGGCTTCAACTTGATCAATTTGTAATAAAATAGCAGTTCTACGTAGTGCGTACCATCCCCAAGCCCATTTTACTACAATCTACGTTCATTTAGTTTGACCCATTTGAAATAAAATAGCAGTTCTACGTACAAATCTTAAGCCATTTTATTATAATCTACTGAATTTTTTTAATTTATTTTTATAACTAATCCACTAAATTCTACATAGTGGGGGGTCCCAGTCCAATTGATTGACGCAATTAACTTCCCTTTAGCTTCCATTATTGTGAATATTAATTAAGATCCAGACTCAGAAGTAAGTGGCATGGATGAAATCATTCAACCTCCCTCTCTCTCTCTCTCTCTCTCTCTTTTCTTTTTAAATTTTTTTTTCACAAATTTTATCATTTTATTGATAAACTTATTGAAGCCTTTTCGTGTTTGGTTTTTTCTTTTCTTCACATCTGATTTGAATAATATTGTGCACCAACATGTTTATGCAGATTTTTCTAAGTTGGAAAGAATCTTGGAGGTTATTAAATTTGTGGACATTGCAAACTGTTTTACTTTTCTAGTTGATGGAATTATTAAGTCTAGCCTTGTCAAAAACCAGCAAACTCGTGTCCAAATTGATAAGTAGAAAATTAAATGGTTGACTCACTGTTTTGTTTTTGATTTTGGACCTTTCATTTCATAAAAAGAAAAAAAATAAATGGTCTCCAACATGCATAGTTGCATACTCCATTTGTAACATTATAGGATAGGATTTGATAAGGTTCTTCTTCTTGGTCTGGAGAATGGAGATGTCAAGTTCGATTGGATGCATCCTGTTGCTGATGCTTTGTGTTGTTCTTACGGTTTCAGTTCATGCACAGCAACAAACAGGTTAGCATTTTTCATCTCCAAGTTCCCCATTAATTAGCTTCTCTTAAAGGATACTTACTAGTCTTAGTTCTTGTTTATTGTCTTAGATTACTGTAAAAAGTGACTGTGAAAGATTCATAGTTTAAAGCCACCCATTACTCATCTTTACAGGCCTTTGAATTCAGGGTTTAATGGGTTCTAAAGACAATAAACCAACCATAACTTATGGATTTTGCAAATCTTATCTCATTTTGAAGTGTAAACAAGCTAAAATCCTGTATTTCTTAGTTTACTTTTGTCTTTCTGTTCAGGCTTTCTAAGCATTGATTGTGGTGGTCCAAAGAATTTTGAGTACACAGATGATATCACTAAAATAAAGTACAACACAGATGGAGCCTACATACAAACAGGGGTTAACAAAAACATCTCCTCGGAGTATGCATATCCAAAGAATCCTAATCTGCCATATCCTCTCTCAGATCTAAGAAGTTTTCCTCAGGGAAATAGAAACTGTTACAGCTTAACAGCAGGAAGAAGAGGCAGTTTACATTTGATAAGGGCTTCCTTCTTGTATGGAAACTACGATGGGAAAAATAAGCTGCCAGAATTTGATCTCTATGTTGGTGTCAATTTCTGGTCATCAGTGAAATTTAGAAATGCTTCAGAGCAAGTTACAATGGAAATAATAAAAATGGCACAATCAGAGGTGACAAATGTTTGTCTTGTGAACAAGGGAGCAGGGATTCCTTTTATCTCAGCATTGGAACTTAGACCCCTTAATAGTTCCATTTATAATACTGAGTTTGGAGAATCTGCTTCATTGATACTTTTCAAGCGATGGGACATTGCATCACTCAATGGAAGTGGTAGATATGAAGATGATATTTATGATAGAATTTGGTCTCCCTATAATTCCTCTTCCTGGGATTCTATCAGCACTTCCTCAGCAATAAATGTCAATGGTGATGGCTATAAAGCACCATTTGAAGTCATTAGGACTGTTGCTATACCAAGGAACCATAGTGATCCTTTGGAGTTCTCCTGGACCCCAACTGATACAAGTTCGAAATTTTATGTCTACTTGTACTTTGCTGAGGTGGAGAAACTTCAAAAAACACAACTGAGAAAGTTCAACATATCCTGGAATGGATCTCCATTGTTTGAATCCTTAGTACCGCTCTACTTGTATGCAACCACTCTTTCTAATTCAAAATATCTGGTGGCAAATGAGCATCAAATTTCTATACAAAAAACAGAAGATTCAACCCTTCCACCCATTCTTAACGCAGTTGAGATTTATGTAGTAAGACCATTGGATGCACTTCCAACGTTCAAACAAGATGGTATGATTTATTTTATTTTATTTTTCCTTGAAATTTCATATGCATACTACCTACTCTGCTCACATTTGAGTAGGAACAAACTTTGGTGCAACCACACCAAACAATGGCATTATTTGCAAATGTCTTACAGTTTGAGTGATTATGTCTTTAATTGAATTCAATTATATTTGAACACAGTTGATGCTATGATGGACATAAAAGAAAATTATAGAGTTCAAAGAAATTGGGTGGGTGATCCATGTGAGCCAAAGAACTACTCTTGGGAGGGCTTAAAATGCAACTATAGCACTTCACTTCCTCCCCGGATTATATCACTGTGAGTACTCTCTGTGTATCCTTATCCTTCTTTTCATTCTCCCCTTGTGAAAATCCTTATGTATTGCTTTTGACTATAACTTCATACCATGATATTCAAGTTTAGAAGAAAGTGTTTTCTTTTGATAGGAATCTAAGCTCGAGCAGTTTGAGTGGAATAATAACTCCAACCATTTCCAATCTCTCTTTGTTGGAATCTTTGTAAGTAAAACATCTAGAAAACTCTTGAGTACCTGTGTGATCATTGTGCTTCTAATATGTATGAAATTTTTCCATGCTAAATAAGACTTTTCTTCATCATTTATTTAAAATCACTGAAACTACATTATTTTGATTCAGGGATTTATGTAACAATAGCTTAACTGGACCAGTGCCTCAGTTTTTGGAAGAATTGAGATCCCTAAAATATTTGTAAGTATTTTGATGATGGTAGATTGGTAATGTAGCCCTTATAGATAGTGGTAAACCAATAATTACTGATGCATGAAAAATCAAATTATTTGTAGGAACTTAAAGGGCAACCAATTTTCAGGTTATGTCCCTACCACTCTTCTAGAAAGATCAAGGGCTGGATTACTTACACTGAGGTATGTCATGCTATAGTAGACCTAGAGATGCTTATTGCAAGCCTAGTTAGTTTTATTTGTCTTGAAACTGATAGGAATCAAGGAAAAGAAAGTCAATGTGTAAGTACAAACTATGAAGCATCAAAAGAAGATGTATAGAGGTGTCATCAAACATCTTTAAATGTAACTGTGACCTGACTGTCTTGTTTTTCACCACTTTCAGGGTGGATGAGAAAAATGTCAATGACTCAGATACGAGTAACAAAAAGAAAAAAAAGAATGCTGTTGTTCCCATAGTTGCATCGGTATCATCGATTTTAGCTCTATCGGTTATTTTCATTCTGTTTTGGAAGCTTAGAAGAAATGGACAAACAGGTAATTCTTGATTTAATGATACATAACTCCTTCCATCTATCTGGTTCTCAAAACTTGAAGAATAGACATAAAATTAAAAGGGAAAAAAAATATTAATCATGCTTGGATGAACTTTTCTATTTAAAGGGCTCTGTTGCTTTACTCTCATATTTTATTTCTTTTTGAAATAAGACAAGGAGAAGAATGAGCTTAACAAAGGAGGAAGAACTATAGCATCAAAGAACTGGCAATACACATATGCTGAGGTGTTGGATATCTCCAGCAACTTTGAAACAGTCATTGGGAAAGGAGGATTTGGAATTGTATACTACGGTAAGATGAAAGATGGAAATCAAGTTGCAGTCAAGATGCTTTCTCCATCATCAACTCAAGGGCCAAAGGAATTTCAGACTGAGGTAACTAGTGTCATGTTTTACCACTAGATTACACAACATGGATTTAATGAAAATGCTATTCAACGTCAGAATTGTCAATATAAATTAATCATGGCTTGTAGGCTGAGCTCTTGATGACAGTTCATCACAAAAATCTGGTATCCTTTGTTGGTTACTGTGATGACGATAACAAGATGGCACTCATATATGAGTATATGGCCAATGGTAATCTTAAAGATAATCTCTCAGGTAGACCCATACACTACTCCAGGTTGTACCTTATTTATTATTGTAATCTTTATGGCATCTCTTTATATTTGAAGAAAGAGATTATGTTGCAATGTGTTATATCATGGTTGCAGATAGAAATCCACACTGCTTGAGTTGGGACAGAAGACTTCAGATAGCAATTGACGCCGCAGAGGGTTAGTATATCTTCACTTTTGTGAAAGCAAATAGTGCCCTTCTTGTATATCTTAACTTTTTGCTTTCAAATTCTCTTATACTTTGACGTTTACTTACTTTCACATTGATACCAAATGTTACTATGATCTCCATCTAATAGAATTAAAAGTTACTTAATGTTTTCCAACACGTTTTGGTATTCAACGAAAGCAATAAATGTTTTGTTCATTTTTCTTCCTTTTAATTTGTATAAATCTCTCCAATTGAGTTACCCCTTGTAAATGCATAAGTGGTTTTGTGCAAGTATATTCTTTTGGAATTTATTGTGACATCTGATGTGTTCGAACTTGAAGGATTGGATTACTTACACCACGGATGCAAGCCACCTATAATACACAGGGATGTGAAGTCAGCCAACATTTTGATAAATCAAAACTTAGAAGCCAAGATAGCAGACTTTGGCCTCTCCAAAGTATTTAAGAATGATAACCGAAATGTAGAAACTGAAGTGATTCATAATAATGATAGAAACACAGGATCTGCAGTTATGGGTACGACAGGGTACCTTGATCCAGAGTAAGCCCCCATCTTTTGGATTCATTTCTATTATGGTTCTAAAAAGAGTCCATTTCACTAGTCATATATTCCAGTGCAAAAGAAAAATTAGTTTTACAAATAGAGTTTTCTTTTATCATGGATTCATTATGTGACACTAACTACATTGTCTATCTATCCAGGTACTACAGATCAGGGAACTTGAATGAGAAAAGTGACACCTATAGTTTTGGAGTCGTACTATTGGAACTAATCACAGGTCGACCTGCAGTATTAAAAGGAAAGCCAATGATGCACATACTTGAGTGGGTAAGACCTGAGCTTGAAAGAGGGGACTTGAGCAAAATTTTAGATCCAAGGCTGGAAAGAAAATTTGATGCAAGTTCTGCATGGAAAGCTATAAGAATAGCAATGGCATGCACTGCATCAACCTCCATTCAAAGACCTACAATGAGTGTCGTGTTAGCTGAGTTAAAACAGTGTTTTAAAATGGAGTCGCCTAATTATAGTGAAAATTTTGTGACCCCATATCAGATTTCTAGCGATTTTTACAGTTCATCTCAAGCATATTCCTTGGATAGTGAATCTATCACCGATCCTTCCCCAAGATAATGTAATATGTATTGAGTCATTGGAAAGTATTTAATTAAATTGCAATTTTTATTTATTTATGAAACCATAAGATGAAAGACACACTCGGATACTTCAAATAGCACTCCTTTGCCTCCTTTTGTGATAAAACATAATAAATATCTCTGACTCTCTTAAAGATGTTTAATTGCAAATTCAACATTGATAAATTATAAATAATATTATTCAATTTGAGTTGTTATGCCTACCAAAAGTTCTCTTATTTTTAGATCTCTTATTTTTAGATGAGTGATTTAATATTTATTTGACAGAACTGACCAGGCCAATCCAATGTGGAGCTTGGTCCCGTAATCCAACCATATGGTCTCATAAGTCCACCTTACGTCTTTGACTGCATTAGTCTGATATTACTTCTCAAAAGTGTTTTCACTAGGAAATTCTTTTAACAAAGCTTTTTAGTATGGTGTTTTTGCCTAGATTTTACTCTCAATTTGATTCTATACGTGTGGTATATAGCCTATTATTTACTTTTATATATACCATGCTTAAATGTTTCATGCATGATTCAATATGAATTATGCTTTCACAACTCACACCTTGTAAGTTAAGATTTTCATCAACGTTTTTTTGTTTAAGACATTTATCAAAACCGATTCTTGTACTGAAATTAATTTAATTTCCCATATAAGAAACCTATGTAACGTATATGTATCAACTAAATTAAAAATCAGACCGGATAAAACAAGTTCAACTAAAAAATCTATGAACAAAAAAATAAGAAAATGTGAGAATATTATCAACTTTTCTTATAAAACTATCGTTTGCACTACTAGTATTAGTCAACAGAAAAAAGAGTTGCTCCCTCACAAAAACAGAATATGTATATCAAATACGAACTTAAAAAATAAAATAAAGCCTATAATAAAAACTCCAAGTAAATAGAAGAAAATTCTTACAAATGTTTTTTTTTTTTTTTTTGTGTGGTAAATACAAATGTGTTTTACACTTTTACTTGGAAGGTCAATATACTTTTGTACCCAAAAAATTGGGTCAACATACTGCTTCTATCCACCTCATGTTAAAATGAACAGATCTGATTCGGAGTCCTTTAACTTATTTTACCAATGAATTTCTGGCCTATCCAATTCAAATTATGCATTTTGAGGTTCGAGAACTCGTGAAAATGACCGACGAAAACAAATCACTATGTTCAGGCTTTGACTTAAAAGGTTACATTATAGGATATAGTTTCAAAATTGGCTCCTCTTTATAGTCATCGTGCAACTTTAGATAAATCTCTATAACAAGATGCAAATACTCAATTTTCATCATTTTCTTATATTAGATGTGAATACTCTGCATTCAAAATCTAATCTTCCCAGTTACCAGTTTGACTTTATACATCCGAATTATCAATCAAATTGACTATTCAAAAAGTTTAACTAATTTGTCAGAAAACCATTTTTTGTTTTTTTTTGTTTCATAGAGTATTCTTATTCAAAGGTGTGAGACTAGTTTTTTATAGTTAGGCAACAAAAGCAAAAAAACCCTTTTCAATAGTATTTTTGTTTTTACACATGTACATCACCTAAAAGGCTAAAATCATATGAAACCACTATTTTCCATTTCACCCATAAACCCAAAGTTTTCCTTGTTGGTGTTTATACATTTTGTTAGTGGTGGATTTCAAAAGTTGATGTAACAAGAAACATGCTTCTATAGAAAAAAAAAAAACGCTACCGATTTGTTTGCAAAATACATAACCATTACAAAGGCCTCCATTGGCCCAATAGTTGTAGCCCAAGACACAACTTAACTGTTTGTTCCTCTCAACAAGTCCCAATTTAAAAGCCCAAAAGTTCAGGCCCAGATAGTATCCTGTTCATAATCCAAAAAAAAAAAAAAAAAACCAGGTATGGAATTCCATCCAAAATGGGAGGGAAAAAAGAAGGGAGAAAGACAAATCTTTCTTTAGAAAAAGAAAAACACAACAATGGGGAAAGGAATAAATTATATGTAAACGTGGAAGTAACAATGGGCAGAGTAGCAAAACTATGATCGAGGATTTAATAACACACTTGACATAAACTTTTAATGCAATGATGAACTATATATGAAGGGATTAAAAAAATTGTATTGTACAGTAAATCCCAACACCAGAGATTAAAAAGAATTGTGAACTATATATGAAAGCATCAATCCTACCCAAAGCACAAGAAAGTGGATTAATCTTCTTTATGGGATTCTGTCTTTTGGGATAACGCCAAGGATATTAATATTCTCTTTCAAGAGATTATTATCTATGATGAACTTAGATTAGACATATATATATATATATATATATATATATATATATATACATGAAAGAGTTTGCGGTGTGTGGCAGTTTATTAGTCAATTCCATCACAATCTTATCTCCAAATTGCCATAGCAGTTTCATTGATCTTGTCTGTAGTTTAATAATACACTTGATGCATAATATATTTTGAAAGCCCAAACCTGTTGGCACACAACCAGCAGTTTTCCCTCAACTCAGGTGATGCTACTAAGCTTTTCCTTTGGAAAAAGTCTAAACCCCTGATAGCGACTTCCGTACAATAAGTGCACGTTTGCATTCTTTGTGAACTAGCTTATTACCATAATAATAGTGTTAAAAATATGGAAAAAAAAGTGTATGTCATTTTAATTGATACAAGTTGTGTCATTTTGTAGATATAAAGAGATATGGGTCCCATTAAAAAAAAATTGTGAGTCTCACCTCTTTGTATTTATAAAATGATACAACTTGCATCATTTAAAATAATATACATTTTTCCTTAAAAATATATATTCCATTCCTCTTACAAATAAACAATAGTTCATTATTCTTTTGGTTGCAAAATTTATTAATCAAGTTTAATAGTCTATGATAAAAAAGTTGTTAACAATTTTGCAATAAGAATGTAATCCTTGAAAAAATAAATTCCACTTTTAAAAAAAATTATTTGTAAATTTTTAATTAAAAAATAATATAAACCATTAAAGAAGTCATCACCCAACAGTTTAAGCTTTTTTTTAATTGAATTGGTTCTTTACATTATATCGAAGTTTCGGTGTCCTAGGATCGATTCTCACCGCCCTTCATTTTCTTTGTGGAATTTCTTAGCACAGGCAAGCTGGGCCTGATATATCATTCATTTTTCAAGTTCAATGGTCTCTTTTGTGAGGAGACATATTAGAGAATAATATAAACTATTAAAGAGATTTTCACCCAACAACTTAAGCTTTTGAGTTAAATTAGTTCTTTATATTTTTAAACTTTTACACTAGTAATTAGTGCTTAAATTTCATGGTTTTTTTATATATAATGAAGACACTGAGTTTTGAACTTATAATTTCATAAAAATTACACCAACTCTTCACAACTTGACCAATTTTAACAGCTTAGAAATGCCTAGTAATTAAATCACTAAAAAATAGATATATTTAAGACATACTTTCTTGCTTTGAATTCGTAATAAAAATAAAAATTCATATTCTATGGTCAATGTTTTATACTAGCGGGGAACATATATACCATATATTAATCCATAAAATTAAAAGTGATATTTAACATAGTTTTTCATTGTAGGACCTCTGTCAAAGTTTATTTGTCTCACATATCCTAACAAGAATTGACCACCCAACTAAACTCAACCCAGAATTTTAACGAGTGGTTCATGTTTAAGAATAGCACAAACTCCATACAACCCTGTATAACATTACACATTTTTAATGTTGAATGGAATGTTAATTATGAATCCGCTCCGAATAGTATTATCTCCCGTAGAGAATACATGCATTTACAATTTCTCCACAAGCAAAAAGGTAAGCAGTAGATAGCTAGCAATGTAAAAGTCTACATCGTTTGTCAAGCGGGTCCAGAAAGGCTATGGCGGGAACCAGCACTAATGGCTTAAGTTAGACCAATCAGATCAAGTGAATTTGATACTATATCACAACCCAAAATCATAAGGCATTGGATGTATGAGTTCTCCCACTTATATATATTCTACTTAATCCATTACCAATCAATGTGAGGCTCATCATACTTGAATATCCCAACAATATTCCCATTAAGTATGAAATTTAACATTGGTACGCTCCCCCTCAACAGAGTACCCAAGCCCAAATACTCAACCCACCTATAGCCAAACACCCGACTAACTCGACCCCAACTCAGCTCTGATATCATTGTCGGACGAGTCTAAGGAAAGCTCGTGGCGGGGGACTATCAATGTACCATCAATAACTGGGTCCGACACAATGTCACAAACAAAAATATTAAAGTATTAGATTTATGGGTCCCCCACTTATATACATTTTACCTAACTCATTATCAATCAATGTGCAATTTATCACACTTAAATATCTTCACAAATTCCTATGACATTAAGGCATGAATGTCACTTGCAATTGGCTACTTGTTTTGGTTTTCATTTGCATTAGAACGACCCAAATCAACCTTCTTGAGTAAAAAAACTCGTCCAGCAATGGATACTGCTATTCAAACTTTCTTTCATGTGGAAGAAAGGGTAGGCAAGGAACGAAAATATTCCTATATCCATGTCTATGATATAGGAATGGTATAAAGTTCTCGTATCAAAACCCTATTCTGTATCCCCTTACTGGATTCTGTTTCACTTCTTAGAAGAACATAGGAATTATGCTACATGACAAAAATAAAAGAGTAAACTAACTTTGGATAGTCAATAAATATTACGGGCCCAATTTAATCTTTTAAAAGAAAAAAAGTTGACTCATGATTCTTCAAAAATTTAAAATAAATCTATGTTAGTTCTTTTGAGAGACTAAAATTGATCTTCTTTGAATTTCAGAGTAACCACAATTTTAACTAATTAAGTCTATTTTAAATTTCAGAATAACTACAAATCGACTTTTTTTCTAAGATATTAAAATAAGCCCTATAACTTTTTATTTTATTGAGGACTCAAAAAAATATTTTACTCAAAATAAAAAGATGGAGGATAGTTCTAAGCCAATTCCTGAACCTTGAAACCAAACTTTCCTTCCTAGTCTAGTCTTCAAAATTGAACTGCCCTTTTCAGCTTGTGGGATTGTTTTATATATTTGCCTGAACTTTGTCAAAGAACCGCCAGACATGGCTAATTAAAAAAAAAAAATTGAGACCGAAAGTTTTGCCCCCTGATAGTTGGTGAGAGTATAAGTTATTATCGATATAAAACTATTAAGTTCTGGATTGAAAACTTAAATTTTTTCTTACTTGAAGAAATATTTTATTTGCATAGCCAATTCCTAACCAAGGTAAAATTACATCATTTATATTTAAATTTTGAATCGTGAATTTTTTTTCTCGAGCAAAGATTTAATGTATAATTTATTTTTCTCTCTATTTTATTTTTTTGGTTTTATGTATTTATTTTTATTTTAGTACTATTTTTTTAATTTCTATTTTACCTTTTTTATTTTATTTTGTTCTCTTTAAATTTTATGTTTTCATTTTTTTATTTTTTATTTAATTTTAATTTTAATTTTAATTTACTCCTTAACTTCCCCCTTTTTCACAATATTTTTTTTACTTTTTATTTGAATTCATCAAACATCGACCCCGTCTAATTTGGCACAAAGATGTTGACATATTGTTGATGTTGATAATGATGTACAATGTATATTGTTGCGATCACGACAACTATACCGATCGTATAAGTAATAAAGTGATAAATAAAATATCATTTCTACGAGAATTGATACATCAAACAATAATTTATCTACACGATCAAAGTTGGATCGACCGTAAAGTTTTTGAGAACAATAATTCAAATATAAAAACTGAATTTAAAACTAACAATTAACTATCAAGAACCAAGAATCAAGAACAGTCTGAAATCAAATATGCAAAGGTGTAGCTAGGATGGTGATTTCTCCATCGTCTTCCCAATGAATCTAACATTTCATATAACTAACATTCAATTCATATTCATGTTATTGACAATTTTTTCATGTCTTTGACCGTATTTAATAATATTAAACACAATTTGGTCCTAAAAATATAATGTGTTTGACACTTAACATATGTAATTGAAAGAGAGTCATTATACTATTTTTTTGGCACATTAGTTGAATTGCATTAGAAGATAAAAAAAAAGTTATATTTTTTATTTTCTTATTATATAAAATAATTTTCTAACTCTATCCTAATTACATTTTGATAAAAAAATTTCTTAGAAACATTATACACTAAACAAATTTTTATTTACTCTATTATACAATATTTAAGTCAATTGGGTTCCATTGTTGTACGTCTAGAGTTTCTCTTGTAAATTTTTTATTTGAAACTTTGGGTTTTAACCTCCAAAGCACACGTTCCTTTTAAGAAATTTTGCGTGTTGGACACGTGTCGTTAGAGTTAAACGTTGGGTTTTCTATATTCTCATTATTAAACGTTGAAGTCGTTAGAGTTGCACGATCAAAATATACGGAGTAGCCTCCCTTAATGACCTTTGATCATAACCATCATGGACGGACCTATGTTTGTGCAAATGTGTGCAAAATCAGACATAAATTGATGATACAAAAAAAAAAAAAAGACATAATTTTTTTGGAAAAAAAAAGAATAAAATCTTTAATCCCTTAAAAAAAATCGAATGATGATCCCTCTGAATTCCAAAATAAATTCAATTAATCGAAATCGTGATCCCTCTAAAATTCAAAGAAGACTCACGTTAATACCTCAAAAGGATTAACATGAGTATATTTTAAAATTCACAGAGATCACGAGTCAAGTTTTTTTTTTTAAGGAATTAAATTGAACCCTGTGATTTTTATTGAGATCCAAAAGATACTTTACTCAAAAAAATAAATTTGAAGTTGAGATTTTCTATTCTTTTTTTGTTTATATTCTTTTATTTTCGAGTGCAGACATAAATAAAATTTTCTATCTCCCGCCACTAATCACCATCAATAAACATCACAATAGTCCGATTATAACTGGATTCAATTAAATACGCACGATTGAACATGTTATACATCTATGCGAAATAGAGAAAATTCTTACATATTATTACTAGGAGTATAGAAACCAAGTACCAAGGTCTGTTGGTACTTGGTACAAGTTAAAATAGAGCTAATCGACGGATAAAATTATTCTAAAAAATTTGAACTTATATATAATAGTCGACCGTACATAAAATTTTTACTCGTATAAAAAGACAAACGCATTAAATTATTCCAGAACAAAGTATCCAAGGACCTTATGTCCGCAAATGGAAAAGGCGTGCCGAGGCAAAAGATGTATTCTACGTCTATAAGCCGTTCATGTCAATTTAGGGATTTTTATTTGCTTTGGCCTCACATGTGTGCCACCTTAAGTACTCCCACTTCCAAAACAAACACCAATCCAAAATCTCTGGCAATTTTGGATTTACATACATATCTGCTCCCCCAGTACATTTCTTTTTCTTAAGTTTTCTATGGACAAGAACGGATCAAAAATTAAAGTTTTAAATCCCTATCAAAAATAATATTAAAGAAAATCAAATACATCTCTTATTCTTACCTGCTCAGCTCTCATGTACCAACTGAACTACTATAATTTAGTACCACTTCCCCCTGTCCATTTCAGGATGACAAAACTATGATCGCGATAAGTGATCGGCAGCTAATAATTTAATAACATTGTGTGTCCCTTTAACTCAAATGACTTGTTCAACTCTTGGCTTTGTAAATCTCAAAACTATGTAGCTTTGCAAATAAGATTATCCATTGTGACATAATAGAGCATGCCTATTCAATCCCTGTATCAGATTATTGTTTATTTATGTAATTTTTTTATGCAAGAGTATACACACTGCCCCAAGTACCAATACTTAGTTTAGCAAGTGATACAAGTTAAGTTACGTATAACATTTGTTATGTCTATGAATCTATGGCCATTACCTGAATCTATAGTCTTTTTTTTCTGGTTAGATTCAGTCTATAGTCTTTACCCCCAAGATAAGAGGTTCAATATATTTCTGAACAAGTAATTTTCTAGGTCGGTATCACACTATTACATCAGCAATGGAACACCTTCGCAAATCGACAAAAACTTAAAAAGAAAACGCCGAACAAGTCATCATTTTCGTGTCAAAATGGGTTAACACGAGGATGAGGACGAGACTGAGTGCGACGACCCAAGACATTTCTGCTCATAGTCAAAATGTACTCTTCAGCCGTTTATTAGGATTTGTAAGGATTCATAACATCTTCATTATGCTTTACGACTTACTTTTATCTCCATCCAATTCTAACTAAACATCAAAAGATCTGCACAGAGCAAGTTAGGAAGGAAATAGGAACAATAGCAAAAATGTTTAGTTAAAGGACAAAACACAAGCTGCACCTTTATCTTGGTAACACATAATTTTATCATTTTGATTTTTGGGTTTTTTATCTCGAAATTCCTATGCAGGCTGCAGAAAACTTTGTGGTTGAGAAAAACCACCTCACCCGTACGTGTAGGGTATGCAACCAAATGTTACCACAAGATAATAAACCAAGCAACATCTCAAGATCTTTGTCCGAAAAAATAAAAATAAAATAAAAATGACAAATTATAGCATCAAACAACTAAGATGAAAAAAAAAATATAAATTACATAAATATTTTTGCATAATATGAGACAAGGAGTTCAGATCCTAGATATTACACATTTATACATCAATGAGATTAGTAAGCGATAACATACGCTAGTTAACACATGATAATAATTCATAATAATCTGCCAACTATACAAAAAACTTTAGATAGTTTTTAATCTAAACTCCCCCAAAAAAGAGATTCTACTCTTCACCCATACCTTGAGAATAACATATATTTTATTTACACGGAATCTTCAACTCGTAGCTTCCAAAATAAATCTTGCTTGAATCAATTCCACTTCACTCTCTCTCACTTCCTCGGATTCTATACACAATGATAGAGGGAAATCAGAGAAAATTGGAACCAAAATGGAATCAGAGATGACCCATCATAAACAATTCAGAAAAGCAATCATCCCAAAATAGCATACCAACCCAAAGGGCCCAATCAACTTTCACCCCTTCCTTCATCACTTCACAAGCTCAGAAACCCAATCAACATCCGGAGCTCCACCTGATGAACCAGGACCCGACCCATCCAGAGAGTTCTCTTTGCTCAACTTCTCAAACATCTTGGTCCTTATATTTCTCCCAGACTCAACCCTCTCCATCACAGGCTCCTCTTCACAACTCTGATCCCAAAGATCGAAATAGCTAACACCAGCACGACCCGGTGCCTGGGTGGTGGTCGGTGTAGCAGGGAGGCTACTGAACCCGGGTCGTAAAATGGATCCTCTCGGTGACCCGAAACCCGGAGACCCCAATGGAACATTCCTACTAGAGGGTAACGATTTCACCTTCCCAAGCTGCAAATTACGCAGCGAAGCCACCACCACCATCTCGTTGATGGAGCTTGAACCCAACGAACGGCTCAATGATTGTGCCATCGGCGACATCGGCGGCGACACCTCCGACGGACTAACCGACGTCACCGCCAATCTCAGAGGAGAACCGTCATAAGAATCCGCCGAGTTAGCGCTCCGGGGACTCTGCTGCTGCACGACACGGAGCTGCTCCTGCGTGTGAGCGAAGAAGCACACACGTCGCCGGCAACTGGTTCCGTCCTTGCATGGCTGAGTACGGTAGCGCGCAGGGTGGAGCCAGCACTCGAACACGCCGTGCGCGAACTCGCACCCGTCACCTTTCTTGCAATTTCCCTTTCGGAAATCAGGGCACGCCGTGCCGGAATAGTGATACTTCCTCGGGTCACGCCGGCGAGCCTTCTCGCCGGGATGAGCATAGGGACACTCCGTCCAGTCATGTGACCTGCCACGTGCGCACCTCCTTACCTTAAACTCGAACATACGGAATTGGTCGCATGAATAAGCGTCCACCGGAGCATCCGATTCACGACCCGGAACCTCCGAATCCGAGTCCGAATCGTTCGACGGAAGGTAACGCTGCAGCGCCGCAAACGCTTCCTGCATGTAATACGGTGAGTAATCGCCGGCGCCGGCATTGCTGTCGTTTGCATAGTACGGGGAGTACATCTCTGCCGTTGGATCGTCGAGGTTTGGCCATGGAGGCACGTGGACCGTTGGATTAGCGCGATGGTGCTCTCCGAGCATCATCTTGATGATGATTTTGGATGGATGTGGATGGTTACAGAAACACCGGCATGGTTAGCTTCGCTTATAAACTACCACTTAACCGTGGTTCAGTTTTTATTAACCATGGTTAGGTTGAAAAATCAATGAACTGCGATTTTCCACTGCGGTTAAAGTAGTGGGGATTTTCTCCGTCACCTTGCTCGTGCGAGGATCTAACGTGACAAGCTGCTTCCTTGTTTGCCACGTTGATCGACTGGACCGGGATTCTTGTCGCACGTGTCGTGTGAATATTGGTGGTCATTTAGATAAAATGACCGCGCTGTATCCTATATAAACCTTTTGTTGGTCTTCGGTAAGCGGTGGAGCATGTGATACGCTGCATTCTCTTTAAGGGGAAAAATTAAATAAAAAGGAAATGAGAGAATACAATAATAATAATGATAATAATAATAATAATAATAAAAACAATAAATAATAACTGAACATAGTTTTTATCCACTTAAAAAAAAACGAAATTGAGGAAAATTGTAAAGCCCACAATGTGAATGAACAGAATATTTTAATTTTTTATTCTGAAATAAAACCAATGGGCGATATGTTGTTTTAACGCTTAAAGTCATAGGAGTTTTTGTTATTGAATTTTTTTTTGCCACTTGAAGACTTGGAAAGTAACGCATTATATGATGAGATCGAAAAATTCTGTTGGCATGTAGAGGAAAGATATTCATATTTTCCCACTTTTTTCCACTATTATTTATAAGTAGAGTTATATTTATAATTTTTTTATTTTCAAGGGTAAAATATATTACACATTGTCTATAGTGTAATTTATAAAAATTTATAAATATACATATTTCATCATTTATTATGATTCACTATAACTATATATTCTAAAATGTATATAGTTATGATATTAAAATTATTATTTTTTTAAACTTTTTAGAAACTTGTTCGCCGAAGTAAAGAGAAAAAAATTAATATTATAATTATATATTTTTTGAAATATAAAATTATAGTAAATTGTAGTGAAAAAATAAGGTAATATAAATATTTCTCTCGTAATATTATTTTTGAAGTTTAATTTACACTGCAGACAACAAATAAGATAATAATTACCAATTATTATAATAATAACTTCTAAACATATATAGCAATTTATTTTAATGAGAATTACATACAAATAAGTATTTAATTTATCAATTAGTAAATATATTTTTATGCAACACTTTGAAGTATTGGGTCAATCACGCAGTAAACTTTTGCTTTGAATACAGAAAAGACGGGGTAAACAAGGAAAATTATAGGGCAAGGGAATTCTCTGGAAGATCTTGTCTTTGAAAATATAGATAACAAACAGGAAATAGACAAGATATTGCTAATTCTATTACTAAACATCTTTAGTCATCTTTAATCAAATCATATCAACGGCATATATATAACTAGAGCGATATTTTTACTTCCTTATGATGTGCAAGTGAAGCAAGTTATTTCTAATGGTAAAAAAAGTACTTTGATACAATATCTTATAATCTATTTTTTTTTATTATTGATTTCCGTCAATTCAATAATTATAATTTATTGAAATTAATAATTAATTATTAAATATAACCTAATAAATCATAATAGTTGAATTGACGAAAATCAACGATAAAAAATAAGTTATAAGAGGTTGTAAGCGAAAAGAAGTTGTAAGAATAACGCTCCTCTATATATAAATGAAAAAAGGTTGTCCTTTAAAAGGATATAATTTTATATCATTATAGAAGAAACGATATCATTTTAGTGCATAATTGATACTTATTTACATTTTCTTTCCATCATAAAATTAGGAAGAGAGAGAAAGCGAATGAGATATAATATAAAAAAATACTAATTATACACCAAAACGACGTTGTTTCATTTAAAGTGATACAAATTTATGTACTTTAAAAGGATAAGTATTTTTCTATATAACAAATTTACACTAAATCTATATGAAAGTGCTAAAATTATATGAAAAAATTGAGCATTAAGACAAGAACAAGTACAAATTTATTTTTGGAATGAGAATATTTTTAATTTATATAAATATAAGACAATCAAAACAAGGGACATTGACCATACTATAACCTTTTTGAAAAAAAAAAATTTGCCAAAATGCTATGCCCACCTTAAAATTTATCAAATTATCACGTCACCAAAATCGCTAATTTCGTAGCGAGTTTGGTTATGTCACAGGACATGTTTCTGAGGCCACCAAATTCGATATCCGTGATAGTAGCTTTGGTGGTCAAAACAGTCAGAATAGAAAGTCGCTAGGGCTGCGGTGACAATTGGAGAAAGAAAATTCAGCATAGAAGTCGTTGGGGTTTGAAAAAATGACAGAAAGTGGCACATGAACAAAAGTGAAGGAAAGTCTTCAAAAGAGAAGAAGCTTCAGTTAAGGCTTTGTCCCCGGGGTCAGAATTGATCTCTCAATGATAAAATGAAAAAGGAAAACACAGAAGAAAGATATGAGTCTTTACTCTCTCTTGGTTACCCTTTTACCTTGCCTCAAGTAATCATGAGCTCCAACAATGGGTTCCAAGGCCATAATATTTCTACCTTTGTGCTCTCTCTTTCCCTTTTGTTGTTTAGAATTTTGGGTTTCTGGTTCTTAATTCATTTTATTTGTTTAGTAATAGCATATTGTTAAATTGATTGTTGAGTGTGGGAACACTGTTAATTCGTTCGTGCAACATACTATCACTTGGAAGGTGGTTGATGTGCAAAAAGGTTGTTGAACTATGAACTCACTGTAATGGGTGTTTATAAAAATCAAAAATCAAATCATACTCTTGTTAGCAGAAAATTGTGAAGCTATTTTAGAATTGAAGTAAAATTGTGAAACTATCAAAAATACATTGAAAAAAAATTGAAAGGTTAAGATCTCTCCCCTTTTAACAGAAAATTTCTGTTAGACGTCTCTGTTGTGCAATTTCGCAGTTAGCAGTTATCGCATATGGTATACGCCCAATTCCCAGATTTAGAATGTTGTTGTCCTCAACAATAAACTAAACTATTTCAGTGAAGCTACTTCTGCGCAGGTGGAACACACACTCTTGTTAAACGTCAAACAAAATAATCATACTCTCAACATGAAAAAGGAGACATAACCGAAATAAAATATCCAAACAAAATAATCAAAACAGCAAAATAAAACACTAAAGTCAAAGTAAATGGTGAGAACACTGGCGCTGACAGCGTGGAGTTTGTGCTGTGAGCGTGGAGCTACTGTAAGTTTTGGATCCTCTGGCGCTAACAGCGTGGATCACGCGTTGTGAGCGCGGATATTTCATGGAATTGTGGCACTGAGAGCGCCATCCTGGCGCTGTCAGCGCAGACTTACTGTCTCTTTTTAATTTTTAGGTTGGCGCTGATAGCGTCAATTCCCAGATTTAGACTTTTTCATATGGTAACTAATTCACCACTTACTTGACTTGTTAAAATTAAACTAACCTAAGCAAATAAAATAATTAAATAAGAAAATTTTACTATTGGGTTGCCTCCCAATTAGCGCTTGTTTAACGTCACGAGCCTGACGTACCCCCTGAGATTATGGTGATTGGAAGAACGCTACCATTGTCTTCTTGGTCCAGTATTGTGTCCTTCCATGATCATATACATGTTGGTGAGGAGGAGGTTTCTCAAGAACTTTAAACTTAGTTTTCACATGTTTTTCCTTGCTTTGGGCTTTTCTATCTTAACCCTTGGCTTGCTTTCTTCATGCCGCTGATGGACTTCCTTCCTGTTCCCTTCCTCCACCTTTTTCCCAACAATGTAATTAACTTGATGTTTAGGTTAAGATGCAGGCAATGGAGCTTCATTTGTAAGTACCTTGAAAGTTGCTTGCTCTCCATCCACGCGCATTATCAAATCACCCTTAGGTACATCGATTAGCGCTCCTGAGGTTGCTATGATTGGCCTTCCGAAGATCATAGGCACACTGACATCTTTATCAATGTCAAGAATAACAAAATCAACTGGAATTAGAAATTTGTTTACCTTGACGAGCACATCTTCCACAATACCATGTGCTTGCTTTGTTAAGCGGTCAGCCAGTTAAACCTTCATCCTCGTTGGCTTTACTTCATTAATTCCCAGCTTTTTCATAAGGGTGAGGGGCATCACATTTATGCTGGCACCAAGATCGCATAAGACTTTCTCTATAGTTGTCTTGCCGATGGTGCATGGAATACTGAAGCTCCCTGGCTCCTTCAACTTTGGAGGCAAGTTCTTCTGTATGATTGCACTACACTCCTCTGTTAGTGTAACAGGTTCATCCTTAGTGAGCTTCCGCTTTTTAGACAATGTCTCCTTCGGGAACTTTGCATATGAAGGCTTTTTCTTCAGAACTTCTGCAAAAGGAATGTTAATTTGCAATTTCTTAAAAATATCTAAAAATTTAGACAATTGCTTCCTTTGTTCATGTTGCTTGCTCCCCATGGGATATGGAGGTTTCTCAAAACGTGAGAAATCCCATTGCTTATTCTGAACTGCGGGAGGTTGCTCTTTTGCTTTTTCCTTTCCTTCTTGAGTGTGCTCATCCTTGCCTGTAGAAGCTTCAACTTCATCTTTCTCTAGATCCTCGCTTTTAGTAGTGATGGCATTACAGTGCTCTCTTGGGTTGATTATGGTGTCACTGGGGAATGTTCCTGGAATTCTCTCAGCTACTTGCCTAGACAATTAGCCTATCTAAGTTTCCAGATTCCTTATAGCTGCTTCGTGATTCTTGAAAGCGGATCTGGTCTCTTGCATGAATTCATCGGTGGTCTTTGTCAACTGCAATAAAGCTCTTTCTAATTCAGATGGTTGAGTCTGTGGAATTGGAGGAGGTTGTAAGTAATTGTTGGATTTGTAATCCAACCCCCCTTGAATTCTCCTTTGGAAGTTGTTCCCTGGAGCATTGGTCTGGTTTCTCTGGAAGTTCTGATGTGGTTTTGGTTCATACCAGACTCCGTTAACTTGTACAACATCTGATCCTACCAATGTTGGGCACTCGTTGGTATCATGCTCTCCTTTGCAATACTCACAGTTAACCAAGTTAA